CCCTGAGGTCCTGTTCCACCCAAATTTCGGGCCCACCTAAGCTGGTTCCAGTGGCTTTTCCATAGAATGGCTCAGGCTTTAGATTTTTCCTAAAATCTCTCAAACAAGCAGCATGTGGTTTCAGCATGCCCCATACCTCAGGCCCAAGGTTTGACACCAGCTGTAGCCAGCCTTGGGTCACAGCTTGGTCTCTCCTGGGAACCTCTAAGCTCAGCACAAGTAGCAGCCACCTGCAGATCGCTTTGTAGCTTGTGCTGAGTGGCCCAGGCAGAACACTGGCAGTGGCTGACCTTGGCCTGTATCTTCTGGCAGGCCCCAGAGCCAGTACACTCAGTGGACACCTTCAGACCATGTCAAAGCACCACCACCCAACCACCTCCACAAGCAACACACTCAAGGAGCAGGCTCAGTGGGCATCAAAGCCCTACTAAGTAAGTCCTGCTCTGTGCAGCGGTGGGTCCCTGCACAGCTGATCCTCCATGGTGGTCGGAGGTCGGTGGTCAGTGGCTACAGCCAGTCCTTGCAGATGATTGGGCTGAGGTTAAATCCCCGCCATCGATGTGCCAACAGCAATCAAGGCTCAACTACAAGAGGGAGGTGTACACAGCTCACACTGGGGAAGAAAAGGTGGCACACCTTGAGTGCCAGCTTGTGATCAGAGAGGCTGTGCAACTGACCCTACAGAACACCTACTACATTAGGTCACTCTACCAAGCCTGGGAGATGTAGCAGCTCTACCTAATACATAGAAACAAACACAAAGAGGCTGCCAAAATGAGGACACAAAGAAACATGTCCCAAATAAAACAACAAACTCCAGGAAAAAAACTAGACAAAATCGAGACAAGTAATCTACTAGAGGCAGAGTTCAAAACACTGGTTATAAGGATGCTTAATGAACTTAGTGAGAACCTCAACAGCATAAAAAAGGAACAGTCAGGACCAGCCGGTGTGACTCAGTGACTAAGCACCGACCTAGGAACCAGGAGGTCACAGTTTGATTCCCAGTCAGGGCACATGCCCGGGTTGCAGGCTCAATCCCTAGGCGGGGTTGTGCAGGAGGCAGCCAATCAATGATTCTCTCTCATCATTGATGTTTCTATCTCTTTTCCTCTCTGAAATCAATAAAAAATATTTTTTAAAAAAGGACCAGTCAGAAATAAAGGAGACACTAACTGAAATGACGAGTAATTTACAGGAGTCAACTGTACAGTAGATAAAGCTGACAATCAAATCAGCGATTCGGAATATAAGAAAGCAAAAAACACGCAAGTAGAACAGCAAAAAGAACCCCAAAAAAGTGAGGCTAGTGTAAGGAGCCTCTGGGATAACTTCAAGCGCATATCAACATTCACATCATGGGGATACTAGGAGAAGAGAACGAGCAAGAAACTAGAAACCTATTTGAATACATAATGAGAGAAAACTTCCCTACCTTGGTGAATGAAAGAGACATACAACTCCAGGAAGCTCAGAGTCCCAAATAAGATGAATCCAAAGAGGCCCAAGTTATTGGCAAGAAATATTCAAAGTGATGAAAAGCCAGGACCTACAGCCAAGATTACTCTACCCAGCAAAGCTAGCATTCAGAATTGAACAGCAACTAAAGAGCTTCCCAGACAAGAAAAAAGCAAAAAGAGTTCATCACCACCAAACCAGTAATATGAAATGCTAAAGAAGAAAAAAAAGATAAAAATATGAACAATAAAGTTGTAATAAATACATATCTATCAACAATTGAATCTGCCCTAGCAGATTTGGTTCAGTGGACAGAGTGTCGGCCTGCGGACTGAAGGGTCCCAGGTTCAATTCTGGTCAAGGCCATATGCCTGGATTGCGGGCTCGATCCCCATTAGGGGCATGCAAGAGGCAGCTGATCAATGATTCTCTGGCATCATTGATGTTTCTATCTCTCTCTCCCTCTCCCTTCCTTTCTGAAATCAATAAAAATATATAAAAAAACAAAAATAACCCACAATTGAATCTAAAAACATAAACAAGCAGAACAGAAATAGACTCATACAACTGTAATTTAAAAATTAAAAAACGGCTAAAAAAAGAATGTAAAGTAACTCATTAAAAACTTACGTTTATTACATGTTAAATGATACTATTTTGATAGACTGACTTAAATCAAATATAAAATAGACTTCATCTTAAAACTTAAATTAAAAATAGTGGGTAGGTTGGGAGGGACATGGGAGTGGCAACATGAAGGATCCTTCTGGTGATGGACATGCTCTGTGTCTTGACTTTATCACTGTCAATATCCCAGTGTGAAGCTCTTTTATAGTTTGCAAGAGGTGACCACTGGGAAAGACTAGGTAAAAGGCACAAAGAATCTCTTAGAAGTGTATGTAAATACACAATTATCTTAATATAAAATATTGCATTAAAAAAGACATATGAAGTAATATGAACATATACTTAGTAGAGTGACCAGGAAAGGCTTAAATACATAAACAACCACTGTGCTGAGACCTCCTATTGACAAGGCTTTATCACTGTTTACTAAAAAAGGAAGAAAATGAAGCTTCAGACATACTGTCTATGCATAATGAATTTATAAAAAATAATTTACTAACCACAGGGAGGCTGCCAAAATGAGGACACAAAGAAACATATTTTTACCTATAATGTTCCTACTGAATTTCTGGCAAAATATTTAAAATTATAAGAGTAAATTGTCTCATGACTGACTAGAAACTGAAGTTCAAAGACACTGGGTATAACATTTGGAAGCGAATTTAACCTAGTTTTCCTAGCAGTTAAAACCAAAAGGATAACATAGTACTTATTATGTGACAAAAGAAGAATACAAACTCAGTTGTAACTGTACACTTTTTCTGGACTTAAAACTCAAAAAGTCTATATAGTGAGGTTCTTATATAAGGTGATACTGGATCTGGATGACATGAATTTGTCTGTAACTATTTTTACTAAAAACCAGAAATACTTTAAATCAGCAGTTCTCAAGTCTGTGGTGAGTCTTACTGGATTTTTTTTAACTATGTGCAAAAAGTTAATGAAAACATTCATTCTCGTGACATGGGGAAACACTAGTTCAGGCCATGTGCTGGAGAGCTCCCAGGTTGCTGCAGGGTGATAGAAGAATGAACAGCGTGTGGCCCGAGACGCCCAGGCAGAGCCTGTGCTGCGTCCTGGGCTGGGCTTGCTGCACGAGCAGGAATTCCAACAGTGGGTGAGAAGCAGTAGGAGGCTGCAGGGGCCAGGGAAGGCCAGTCGCTCCGACCCCTCTTTTGAGCGCCAGTCTCCATTCATTCATTCACTGAACTGGTATTTACTGAGCACTATTAAAAGGCAATTAACTACTAAAACTGTCGTATTCCGTGAGTCTGAGGCAAGATGAGCAGAGAGCAGAGGTGTGTGTGCTACACACGCCTGACGACATGAGAAGGCCTGAGGAGCAGGGGGACTCTGACAGGCAGCGAGTGCCATGTGGTCCTAGATTCACAAGGCACCAGACCTCTGTAGCTGTAAGTTCTTCTCCACATGCAGCATGGGTCCTGACCTGGCCTGAGAGGTAAGGGAAGACTTTCCTGCAGAAGTGATATTACATGCAGGGTGAGCAGGAATTAAACAGGAGATGAGATAAGGAACAATATACTTAGCATGTGCAAAGGCCCTGAAGTGAGGGGAAACTAGTATCTAAGGCTGGTGAGGCTACAGCAGGACAACCTGAGGGAAAATGGTACAAAATGAGCTTGAAAAAGTAGTCTAGAACATGCAAAATCAAAATAAAGACCTGGATCATTATTTCAGGAACAATGGAAGCTCTTAAAAGTGTGACATAATCAGATTTGTATTTTTAAAAAAAATTTATTCTGGCTATGGTGTTAAAAAAAGAGAGAGAGAAAAAAGGCAAAAGTAAATTTGCTTTTGTTTTTTTAAATATGTTAAAAATATTTTTTAAATATATTTTTTATTTCAGAGAGGAAGAGAGAGGGGGAGAGAATCACTGATCAGCTGCCTCTTGCACGGCCCCCCCCAGGGATCAAGTCCACAACCCAGCCATGTACCCTGACTGGGAATCGAACCATGATCTCCTGGTTCATGGCTCTACATTCCACCACTGAGCCACAACGACTCGGTGTAAATTTGTGTGTGTGTGTTTTTTTTAAAATTCAAAGTAAATTTGTTTCTAAATTCAAAGGGTCATTTAATGGTCTACTCAAAAGACAACAGAGGCTTGGGCTGGAGGCTTCTGGAAGGTGCAGGCAGCTGCTTGTGCTATGCCAGCCATACCCACTTCTCTCTGTTCTTCCTCTCCATAGCGAAGAGCAACCCATCTAGTATACATGCATGAGGGGGCAGATTTGCACACAGGAATGAAGGAAGCCCTCGACTCATGGCTTCTGTGTTCTTATTTTTTTTTAAATATATTTTATTGATTTTTTACAGAGAGGAAGGGAGAGGGATAGAGAGTTAGAAACATCGATGATGAGAAAGAAACATCAATCAACTGCCCCCTGCACACCCCCTGCTGGGGATGTGCCCGCAACCAAGATACATGCCCTTGACCGGAATCAAACCTGGGACCTTTCAGTCCGCAGGCTGATGCTCTATCCACTGAGCCAAACCGGTCAGGGTGGCTTCTGTGTTCTTAACATGCCATGAAGCAAGACCAGCAGAGACGAAGTGTTGGGCTGGGGTACAGAGAAGTGGAGTCTCACAAGGATACCACATGGCCACAGAGCTGTGCAGGGAAGGGAGATGGTGGGCCTTCTCTGGGCTTCTCGATAGCAATAATAAAATCATAATGAAAGATAACTGAGTGCCGACACCTTGAGGTAATCATCCTTCTAATGACTGTCTCACAAATTCTGTAGAATTACTTAGCTGTGGTGACTATGAATTTCTTTAAAAACAAAAAAAATCATATTATTTTAGGCAGATAGCCTCTAACAAAAGACTTTTCTAGGAGGGCCAATATTATTTTCAAAGGAATTTGATTAGAAACGTAGGTAAAGGTTACTCACACAAACACAATGTCCCCTCTCTTAGAGTAAGCAGGAATAGCACTGGCTATGGTGGCAAATCCATACGAGTAGATAATGGCTTCTTCTGTCTTCATAAATTTTGCAAGGCGGTCTTCCAAATCCAAGTGCACATCTATTTCAATAATAAAAAATTAAATGGTTAAACTGCCATGTAACTCTTTTTCACTAACTAAAGGATAAAAATAAACAGTTTAGTTATTAATACTGTCACCTTATGGCCAAAATGTAATTGTTTTCAAGTTATAAATTACATAAGCTCTATTAAGATAATTCTGGGCCAATAATACTTCTAAAAACTGTGAACTGAATCAGCTACTCATCTGTCCGTACAATGTGGCTCCAATTTGGGGTTCTGCTATGATACCACTCTAGCCCAAGAATTCAAGGCCCAGCCACTTTACCAGCTTTGAAGTCCCTCAATCAATGCACAATATTCATTACTAATGCCTTCCTGCCTTTTAGCAGAAGTACCAAACCAAACACCAAGACAATTGTCAACCAGCTTCTAACAGAAAAAGGAAAAAAGGGGGCGGGGAAGTGGTTCATTTACTAAAAAGAACTCCATGCACTCTGCACCAAGACAGTGGCTTTGAGCAGCGGTCACTCCTCCACAGCGGGTGCCAGTACTGAACTGTAGCACCTGCCATCACTCTGCAGGATTGAATTTCTGCCTAAATTCCTTTTTAAGTGTATTGGGGAACTAAAATTTAAAGTACCAAGAGAAATGTGGTCCTTTTATAGAGAGAGCTTAGGAAGAATGCTGATGTAATAATAGGAAAAAACGTTGATTATTAAACTTTTTCTTTTTCTTACATCATGGTTCCCTTTAGCCTTTCACCTTCCCAGGCTGAGCCATGAGGCTGCATGCCCCGGATGGAAGAACCAGTGATGTCTAGAATAAACAGTGCACTGACTGCCTTTGAACCTGAAACCTTCCAAGTGGTCTTATCAGGAGAGAAAAGGATGGTTACAACTCCCTTTAGCTCTTTTACTACAGCAGCACCCAAGCCTGGAGAACTGACCGGAGCTTCACCACACGCTCTGCGCAAGGAGAAC